AGTGTGGCACTCAGAAGCCTTACCAGTTACCTAATTCCCTATCACATTCTTTAGGGTTCCCAGAGAGGAGATAGGAGTGTGCCTCCGTTGAAGCAACACTGGAACTAGGTGTTTGGAGAAGAGTCTTTGGCGATCGGTGGTGATCAGGTAGGGTCTTTGGCATGCAGCAAGACTTAGGGAAGCAGGGTTAAGCCTAGAAGGTCACGAGTGAGTTTTGGGTGGTGCAGCAGAGAGTGTTCTCTGTTTTTCTACAAAAATTTGGCACACAGAAAGATTTATCAGGGTTATTTCAACCACAAAGAGGGGGCAGGTTCTTGTTTTCTGGTAGTCAGAATGTTCCTTGGGGAGTGTTATTTATGATTTTTATCTAATGACCGACTGCTTCATATGTCAGGGGCCTGTTTATAGGCACCTTCTGAGGGCAGTAGCTACTGCTGGGCAGTATTTTCACAGCAGTGGGCCCAAATCACCTCCAGCAGGGGAACTGAATCTGTCTTGTATGTTCTTGATAACTGCTCTGCTTGCTAGCATATCGTGTAATCAAGTGAACATTTCCTCCATTTGTCTGTGAAAAAAGTGGCAGCTGCTTCCACGTTTTAGGGGGAGCCCAGTCAAATAGTACATCAGGGGAGCGCGCTAAGGGTGCATACTGAGTTGAGCCCCTGAAGGATTTAAAATGGACAAATCTTGATCTCTGGGAAAGAAATGCAATGCACAGGTTTATGAATGTGCGTGTAGTGCAGTAACATTGAAGGAACTCATGCAGCTACAGATACATTGAGGACTCAGAAAATAGTAAGAAGAAGAATGGTTTGTCTGGATAATAACTATGGCCTTAGCAAGTGCCTAATTCCCTAGGTCATTGAAAAGATTTCTGGGTTTCAAACACAAGACTTGAAATTACTTACCCCTTCATCTTCAATAGCTCTGTTAAATATTACTTTTGAGTTCAATCAGGTATTTTTTTGAAAAGTCCTTTTAATGAAGATACGCTTAGTGGTGTTCAAAAAAAAAAAAAAAAAACCAACCAGAAGAACAAATTAATCATTGGTAACAGGTAGATGTTTTTCTTCTTCCTTGTTCATCTCACTCAAACATTCTCTTTTTGCCAAGGCGATAATTTCAAAACAAAAGTAATCTTTTAATGTTTTTACAGTGACTTTTAGAGAGCAGAGTTTCCCAGGTTTCTGCCAAACAGTACGCACGCCCTTTGCAAACAGTGCTGTCCAGCGTTTTTTCATGAGCAGCAAGAGCTTGCGAGGGCCTCAGCTGGTTTCTGCCATCTCGTGGATACATGGAGTCACTACCTCAATACTTCTAATTTCCGCTAATTTTTGGGAACCAATATTCTAAATAACTGAGCAAGTATACCCGGATCACAGAATGGATGAAGTTGGCAGGGACCTCTGGAGGTCACCTGGTCCAACCCCCTGCTCAGGCAGGGCTGCCTAGAGCTGGTTGCCCAGGACCGTGTCCAGATGGCTTTTGAAAGCCTCCAAGGAGGGAGACTCCACTGCCTCTCTGGGCAACCTGTGCCAGTGCTCGGTCACTCGCACAGTGAAAAAGTGTTTCCTGATGTTCAGAGGGAACCTCCTATGTTTCAGTTTGTGCCCATTGCCTCTTGTCATGTCACTGGGCACTACCAAGGAGAGCTTGGCTCCGTCCTCTTTGTACCCTCCCTTCAGGTATTTATAGACATTCACAGATCTCGCCTGAGCCTCCTCTTCTCCAGGCTGAACAGTCCCAGCTCTCTCAGCCTTTCCTCCTGGGGCAGTTGCTCCAGTCCCTGCATCATCTTTGTGGCCCTTTGCTGGACTCGCTCCAGTATGTCCATGTCTCTTGTACTGAGGAGTCCAGAACCGGACACAGCACTCCAGGTGTGGCCTCACTAATGCTGAGTAGAGAGGAAGGCTCCCCTCCCTTGACCTGCTGGCAATGCTCCTCCTTATGCAGCCCAGGATACCATCAGCTGCCTTTGCTGCAGGGGCACATCACTGGCTCATGTTCAACTTGGTGTCCACCAGGACACCCAGGTCCTTCTCTGCCAAGATGGGTGGGCCCCCAGCATATACTGGTGCATGGGGTGGTTGTTCCCCAGGTGCAGGACTGTGCAGTTCCCCTTGTTGAACTTCTTGAGGTACTTGTACAAAGTACTTCATGAGTACTTTTACAGAGGTTCTATTTAAGAAAGTATGAGATCCATTGAAGCTTTTCATAGGAAAAAAGCTTTTTACATTTGGACACTTAGTGAAAAATCTCCTTCTCTTTTCCATATATTTTACTGGCTGATTGACAGCATCTGTACTAGTGAATATTTGACCCATGCAGGTTTATAAAAATGAACTGGCTAATCACACCATACACATTTGTTCCATATCAATATACACACCAAATGCACTGTTTTCTGTTTAGACAGTTGCACTGATTTAGAGCATAACCACAATTTTAGTGCAGTGTAGAGCTGAAATCAAGCGGCATATCTTGTGTGACAGCATGCAGTAAAAAGAAATGATGAATAGGACCTTAGGGATGCTCAACATTTAGCAGTTCATTCCTTGCTGGAGTCAACCATTAAACACAGATCAAGCTTGCTGCTGAAGACTTGGTGGACGCAACTGATCATGGTTGGGATGAGTCATCAAATCATCATTCTGCAGCTTGTTGACTATTTTGATCTCAAGATATACTTGATTTTTCAGAAAATGAGTTTTTAGCCTTTAAGTGTGCACAAATTCATGTAGGGTAGAATCAGAACCTTGGATTTATTTTGTTTATTTAGCCCTCCTTTATATTTTTGAAGTTAAAGACAGGTTGCAGGGAAAGAACAGTCCAACCTACTGGAAATGTATCACAAGTATTTTTTATGAGGACCAGAACTGACAAAAGCTGGTTATAGATTTTTTGTCATGTGGGTGACTAAGAGTACTGGATAAAAGCTATTTGCATATTTTAAAAGTCTCTCTCCTCTTTTTCTGGTGTCCAATAATGCATGGACGTGTTAACCTTTTCTCCAGTTGAAGCAATTACCTTGGGTCTGTCCATGCAAGGCCTTCTACCTTATCTTTTAAACCTCTGCCCTCTGACTAAGTTCTCAGGTGCATTCAGACTGTCAGGCACACACTGTTACTGGATAGGACTTCTTCCTGTCAAGACACCAGTCAAAAAAATGTACTTGGGTCTTGCATGTTGCAGGAACATGAGTGTAAGGAAGAAGATCTAGCCACAAGGGATTTTGCTTTCAGACATTTAAAAGAAGATTCAGATCAGCCTTCACACAGTTTGTTTTTTGAGGGGGGAGTTAAATCCCTAGGAGGAACTAAAAGAATTTGCCTGTGTAGTGACTCAGAGCTGCCTCGCTGCTTTCTGTTTATCATCAAGCATTTGATACTTGTTTTGTATCATTCCTCCAGAGAATTAAGTGGCTTCCTGTTGCTGCATAATGACTTGATCCCTATTTGATGCTGGATGAAAACAAGAGTCAGTATTTCAGAATGGTCAGAATGCTCCAGAATGAGATTATTTTATGGAACAAATTATGATTATGATTTAAGGATTAAACAATCTTTCAACAATTCTTTTATCATGACAAGTATGTGATGCCCATTTTTCAGATATGAAGCACATCCAAGTGAAATATGGGGTGGACCGCTTGTGGTTTGTTAACACAGGAGGGACACATCCAAAGCCATATAGGGAAACAATGGGAAAAGCTAAAAATAGAAGGCAAACCTTATAAACTTGCACCAGGTCATGATCATCTCCCTAGACATAATCTCTGGAAGATACAGGTGTACCTAGAAGTGAGAATCACGAAAAGCTCAATTCTCTGGCTGTCACCGAAGTTATATGCAAGAAATTTCAGGTTTATCTGCTAGCATGCAGAATACCCACTATTCACTGTCAGGTGGATTATGGCAGCAAAAGTGATAATATTTAATGAAATGGGAGGAGGAGCTACTTTTTCTCAATCAAGCTTTTGAAACAGCATTTAAGAAGGAGAAAGCATATAGGACAAACACTGCAATGGAGCAAGCTCTGAACAACTTTGTATTTAAACAAGTACATTTTCCTTTTTATTTCATAAGAAGTTTACTGTTGAAAAAATGGTATGTTTTAAAGCAAACACATTATACACATAGATTAAACATCAGATAGCAAAACCTTACAGAATGAGCACTACTGGTTGTATTGTATAGGGTCTACAATCAAAGGTATACTTAAAAACCCTTAAGAATGAATGTACTTTCAAGGTAAATTAGGCACAAAATTTAGCTTGTAACTAGCTCTGCAAGCATCTCACTGTGATTTCACTGTTACAAAGTATTACAAGTGATCAAAAACATAAGCTGACTTTTTAAATTGTTAAAATTTTATTCGTCCTGTGTGCTGAAATAGTACAAATGTGTACAACACTCCACCTTTGTTAAAAAAAACATGTACAATAGGGACTATAAAGTAGAATCAAAGGGCTAAACAGGGAATTACCCTTTATTTGGGCTCAGAATTAGTATGACATAAACCTATGGCTTTGCCTTGTGGACATATTTGAAATTGAGTAAGTCCTGCAAATGTGGGGAAGAAACAGGAAGATATTTTTAATGAATATGAGCTACAGTAGCAATATTTTAAAGGAACATTATTAGTAAGGAAACTAGCTGGTATCTGACGCACGTCTCCTTCAGTTTTCTGAATAGGATGCAAGATATAATGTGAAATTTTAAAGAATGAGAGATTGTCTTACAAAAAAAAGAAAAAAAGAAATCCATGGAGCAAAAAACCTTCAAGTGATTTGCTGCAAGGTTTTAGCTTAAGTGAGGCTTTAGCTTAGAAAGAATTACTAATTTGCAAGAAATGAGAGGGCAACAGCAAGTCTGTGGACCATAATAAAATCTTACCTCACAGAAAACATAGGGATCTTCTAAATATACATATTAGAAAAGTGTTTGATTAACAGATTTTTTTTATCTTCTGCTAGCAAAATGTATTGCTGAAAGTTGTCCTTTTTTGCTCGTTTAAAACAAAACCCATTACGATTGCCACAGAACTACAAGGAACTGCATACTTTCTAGGGGTACACTTTTACTGCATCATACAGGAATTGCTTAATAGGTAAAAATAAACATCTTAAAGTCTTAATGCTGTTTGATTAGCAGAAACAGAAAAAGGAATGCACTGAAGCAAGATGATAACAAAGTGTATCATGCAGTATTTTGGCTTAATGTATACAGTATTTCAAACCAATGATGTGACTGGAGGGTGGGGGTTTTAATCCATTACATTCACATGACATCATTGAGAATTAAAATTTTATGTGAAGGCAAACTGTGTGGAAACGTGAAAAATACTGGGATGCCTAACAAAAGCGTGCCAGATGTGTTACTGTTTCTAGCATGCAGAGCTAATACTTGAAGGCCTATCACAGCAGTATGAACTACTGCTACTTCTAGTTCTTTACATTACTGCTCTGTTTATGCTGGCTGTGGTCTGGTCACGGTCAGCAAGTGCTGTATGGCGTTAGGGAGTTAACCCACAATCTCTGCAGGTTCAGTGACCAACTTAGTTCCATCCCATGCTGTCTTGAACTGTTCAGGAACCGGAAATTCTTTCTGGTAAGAAACAAAAGCAACAACGATGGTTAAATAAACAGTGGATACCTCATGAAAACTGGTGGAATACTATTAGTGCTACATGACTGAGAAAGCATTGATAGCTCAGACATGCCAGGATTAAAGAGAAGCCTTCTTCATTACCCTAGGAAGCTATTTTACAATACCACACAGGAAAAATCCTTATTGCTACCCAGTTTCAAATAGCCTTGGTATGGTACTACTTTGCAATAATCCCTCTCACACCATTATTTGGAACAACTAAGTAAATAAGCCTCATGTCAGTAATGACTTTAGATTCCATTGGTGTCTGGGTTGGAAGACAGTAGAAAGGATTTAGATGTGGCGATTTAGTGAGGAGACTAATTTTAAAGATGAAAGCAATATTATAATATGGAAGAATAAAATTAAAAAAAAAAAACCTATCATTTTAAGTGTGACACACTTCAATGAAAAGACTCAGCATCCCTTGTGGGGTACACAAAACAAAGCAGAACATCAGAGAAAGTCTCCGTCCGTTCATATATTCAGTGAAAGGATGGGAGATGTCATTGGGTCTTTCTCTGTTCCCAGTAAACAAAAAAATGTTTTTTCATTCAAACCTCAGATAGGTGTTTTGATAGCTAGTAATTTCAGGTGATACGGTGATTTGAGGTGAGACTGATCGAAAGGACCTTTTTTTTTTTAAGGTATAGGTGAATATGCACCCACTGAAAATCATTCGCTTTTTATTTTTCTGAAGCTGGGCATCCAGCAGTCACTTTCGGAAATGTGGAGCATGAGAATTCTCTGTTACATATTTTCTTTTATAAAGCCTAAACCCCTCTACCATACAAAATTCCAGCCCAAAAGATTTATGAGAAATTTAAGTTCTGTCTATGGCCGTTCAGTGCAATTTCAACACTGCTCTGCTGAGGAAACTGGGAAACTATTACGAGTATGCTTTGCCTGTATAATCCCTTGCTGGTGCGTGAAGTGACAGAGCATGCCTTTACTAGAAATGCTGGTGGGCATAGTATGAAAGTCTTACTAGAATAGAAAAGGAGCCGGGAATATGTACACGTTTAAATGGCTCTTAAGGACATATGTTGAAAATACTAGAAAGTACTACAGATGCTACCCATGTATCAACAGCTTTAGAAAAAACAAGTATATTATACTGTATTATTTCATTTGTAGTAGTATTATATTTATCTTAGTTTTAGCATCATCATGTTCAGGCTTGAGCACTCTTGTGTGAAGTGAATTTCTTTGGGAGATTATGTTTAGATATCAAAAAAGAAAATTAAATGGACAGGAGATGAAGCCATTATGTATCAAAATGGAAAGAAAAAACATCATGTCTGATCTTTGAAATTAGTTTGTGCCCCAGAAAATAAGGAGTTCTTCCTGCACTGATAGCTGAGATATCAGTACATAGAAATTCAATTGTTTTGGATCATTTTTTGGTGATGTAATATGTGTGGTATGTTAGTTTCTTTCCTAGCAGTTTAAACACTACTAGCTACCAAGACTAGTGGGGAAGGGGGAGGAAAGCTTTAAAAATATCTCACTCACATAATCACCATCTTGGGGGATGAGGATGTTCATCTCAGATGACTTGGCACTCACAATCTCACAATCTAATGATTCCTCACTGAGGTAGATGTGGCAGCCTTCTGTTTTGTTAATAGAAATGGTTGGCACTTTCCCCATCACCTGCAAAATAAAATCTACTTAATATCAAATCTTAAAATGCACACAAATATGTTGTTAATAAAATCCTCTTTGCCTGCCAGGTCTAATTTTGGCCACCAACATCTGATCTGTATGTCAGCTGCCTGCATGATGCTTATATTTGATTTGTGAGACACTGACAAATCTTGGTGGTGGCAACAGAGATCTATACACAACAGCAAACTTATAATATACAGCAAGCTTTTAACATACAGTTTGATGAAAGTGCTTCCCTGATTCTAATTTCAGTGACACTTTCGTGCTGATATTTAGGCAGTGTTCACCTTGTTCATCGGTGAGAACTGGTTAAGAAATCAAACATGTCAGCTCCAACCCACTAAGGACAAATGAACAATCCCAGCATACAGTAGTACTCCACAAGTGATTTGTAATACATTCTGAAGACTTCAAAGCTCTTCCAGGTTTTACAGCATACAATAGGAAAGGGTTTTTATCCCCTTCAGGCAAGCTACAGTTCTAAAACGTACTGAGATCAATTTAATTAAATCTCTAAAGGTATTTCTTATGTCACTTTAAAAGCAAGCCCAAGATTTACTTGAGGGGAGAAAGGGTAATCTTCTCTTGTTTACAGTTCTACAGATTAAAAGATTTATTCATGGCTAACTGGCTGACTCGCTGGTTGTCAGTAAAAATTCCTCTTTCTCCTCCTGCCCTCTCCAGCAGGGACAGCAATATACTCTGGACAATGCATCAAAAGGGAAGAGGTTATTCTGAGCCATAAAACAGTAACAGCATGTGATAGATATGTACTTGTTAACAAAAGAGTGTCTCCCATCATTCAACTTAAGAATATATTTTCAGCTTCGGTTACTTAAATGTGATAGCAAACAAAGAACAAGTGGTCTGTCCTCTTGCATCCCACCCTGATCCTGAAGTCTGATCTATGTAGTGGATCAATGTATCTTAAACTGAGCTTTCCTTTCTTTAATGGGTTCTTAAACAATAGAGAATGAAAGGAAGGTGTGTTTAATACATTTTGCAAACATCTGGCAAGAAAAAAAATACCACTGAGAGAAAGCAATATGGCAATGAAATAACTATTTATAACTAAATCTGTAAGACGAATTTACTGACATTTGTTGCATTAACGTATGATGTATTTGCAAATTATAAGCTCGGGTCTTCAAAATACTGAGAAAATTGAGGTGCTCAGCACTTGGCATACTTGAACCCTGCAGAAGCTGCCTGATTCAAGCAGCATATAGCATATAGCCAGACTCTACCTTCTTAAGTAGAACTCCACTCTGCTCCATGGCATAGAAGCCTTATGCAATATTCATAGAACCTGCTTAATCAAAAGAATTTTGATTCTTAGAAAAGATATCTCCCCTTTATTTGAGTATTAACAAGCTGTGGTTTCGCTATTCATTACATATGAATCTTTCAGCTTTTATGAATAGTTCTAGAGGTAATGATAAAAATCATCTAGTTATTTTAAAAAACACTCAAATAAATGCCTGGGATCTTCTTCTTTAACGAACTGTCTCCACCATAAGAAGACATGTAGTGATCATGAATAAAACTGCTTGTTACAGTTCAGAAGATGATGCACAGCTGGTAGCAATGTCAGCCACTTGCATGAGGTTCAAAATATGAAAAAAACCATCTTGCTACTATTCCCTGTGGTGGCTGTGACCAGTATTTCTGAAGCATGGAGCAGGGTTGTCTACATTTAATGTCATACAGCAGGCACAGCCTTTTAAGCAAAAGACCTCACCTTGCTTATGACTGGCAGTTTGATATAATTTAATTAACATTTCATTTCTTTTTCGCTTAAAATAATACACCCTAAAGTCCTTTCCTGAGACTAGGTCGTGTATGTTGGACACAACACAGTACTAGAACATGCGTAGTTAGACCCGTTTGGAACAGGATGAATGAAGTGCTGCAAATGTCAGGCAGACTGTCTATATTTTGACGGGGGCAAGTGTCCCCAGTAGAGAGGGCAATGTATGAATTTAAAATACATCTATTTTCTTTTCACGAGAACCACAAGGAAGGTGATCTCTGATGAAGCTTTGCGTACTGGTTATCAAACACAAAACCAGTAGCAGCTCACAGCCCATTTGTAGGCAAGTGACTACATTAACTCATGTAATGTGTCACATTGCTGGCAGGGGAGATTATCGAAATCCTGGCACCTACTTTCACTTTATGTAATTAATTGTCTTCTAACAGTCTCTTTGAATATTTCCATTGAGAAACTAAGAAAAAAAGAAATAACCATCTTCTGGGCTTAGAAATCAATTAGCTAACTACCAGAATTTGTTCCATAAACACTGCTGAACTTTCAAGTCCTAGGAGCTGTTTACCATGAAAGCAAGAAAATTAGGGCCAGAAGTAATAGTTCTTACAGTGTATAGATCTCTCATCTTCACTGGAACCAGAAGGGACTGGGCTAAGGGGGGTTTGTTCAGTGATGCTCAATAGTTTTCACAGGCATTTTCTAAATAAATCAGCAGAATTTAGTGCATATAAAGTTACATTTGCATCCATCTCTTATTTTTGTTGTGCTCCTGTGAGTTTTTCAAATCTCTTGTAGCTACACGTTGCGCTTTTTTCCCCTGCTTGTTCTCTGTCTATCTTTGTTTTTCAAATAGATATTTACCTGAATCTGAATATCCCTGGAATTGATCACTTCCACGATTCCCACAACGTTGTCAAACACAAGGCCAAACTTTTTACAGTTGTCTAAAATAAAAGCAATCATAAATAAGAAAGGCAAGATAAAAGCAAATATATGCACACCTGCTACATTAACTATGAAAATCCCCAGTCTTGCACTGCATAGCTGAGTGGCTTTACTCACATGATCAATCCATTAAAGGGAATGGAATGATTCAGATGCATTATTAATCACGTAAGTAAGTTTTTTCAAGATTGTCATTTAAAGCCCAGCTGAGCTATCCACTCACCAATAGTAATTGAATTGACTTTTCCTTTTATCTGAAGTGTAGATTTGTTACACTTAAAAATGTAGGCGACTTGCTTGAGTTCAGTGTTGTTAATGACCAGGTCATTCTTATCCTCTTGATATTCCTATTTCAAAAGAAAGTTTATTTAATTGGTTGTCTTTAACTAGCTAACAGTCAGACAGAGTTTAGAACAACTTATCCTCGACTCATTGCATCTTCAGTTACAACAGAGCAATATCCTTCCTGTGGCTTAAAAATCTAATCTGCTTGGTGATCGGATATTTCACCTAATTCACCCGTAGATGACACATGTATATTTTAGAGCTGCAGAACTGAAGAACTTAGCATAGACCATGACAAAGCCCATTAATTTTGTAGCAAAGACGTTATGCTCACAACAATTTACAAGTGCGCTCAGAAAACTGTTGCTTGGCTCCCATCCAATTTAGACCAGCACCTTGAAGAACAGAGCCAGTTTTTTGTTCCCCCAAATGTTATATAATGGTCTATACAGTCTGTTATGACCAGGTGCAGGCATTACCATATACAATAAGGAGTAATAGGTGAAGAAACTTCCTTTCATTATGAAGCATGAAGGAACATTTACACTCCATGGATGTCAAGGAAAGACTAGGGATCCACAAGGAAAGTGCTAGGTACTATAACCCTAAGGCAACAGAACACAGGCAAACTGTGACTGCACCTTCTGCAAACTCAACTCCACAGTAATGACTGTGTATATAACCTTCTGTATGACTAAACTGCATATTATTTCTTCCCTCTTTTAACCAAAACAGTCATGTGAATTTTCACTCATAGATTCTTCGGTATACACCTACATAAATTGACTCCCAAACTTGAAACAAATCTATCTTTTCCATCTGTAGATTGAGCACAGGGAAAACACTTCTCTACTTTTAAGCATGGGAGACGTGCTTGCATGGTGATGAAAAATAAATGTATAATTCCATTGGTTAACAAAGCTGGAGAAAGTGCTCTGTGATAATACTGTTATCTTTCACTTGGACAAATGGCCTGCAAGAAGGGGTTTTAATTGGAGTTTTTCTGGGGGGTTGTCTGATTTTGCAAGGAATTTATATGCTGATTCTGACATTCTCCAGTTCACACAAATTAGTATATGATTCTCAGAGACAAATTAATTAACTTTAGATGCTACAGAATAGTAAAAACTAAACTGTAGCATGGCAGAGCAATGCAAGAATCAGCCCATTTGAGTTGCAATTTTGATTTGTTGCACTTTGATCATAGACAGCCTTTTGCAAGATGTTCAGTGCTCAACCTGGTTTGCAATGTGCAGGGTGCAATTCAGAGGTGTGACTGGAACTCACCACTCTCCACTTCTTTCCCTCTAGCTCCAAGACAGGGGCATGGCTCTGCTGTGGGGAATTCTTGGGAGAGGTGGGACTTGGAGTATGGCTTTTTGTGGGAGAACGAACAGCTGGACATTGGGCACGTAGGCTGGGGTTCTTGTGAGTCTTCTGGTCATCAGAGACATGTCGAAGCCCTAAAAAAAAAAAAGGGTGTTTATGAAAGAGAGTCTGTTTTCCAGTCCTAAGGGTGTTCATATTTAAGCAGAAAAGGTTCATTTGTAATTGTGTTAAATTATTCTATGAATTTACATTTTTTATTTCTTCAAGGTTTGCCCGGGTAACCACCCAAAGTGTAACTGCCTACATGTTTTTAGCAGTTCATATAAAACCTCTTTTACTGTGGATGGGCTATCTCAGTATCTTTAACAGGAAATGCTGCAATGTCTTCTAGTCCCTCTCTGTCTGTAGCGAGCTCTGAGAGCTTGTTATATTTTTCCATCCATAAAAATGAGGTTCTTTTTCTAATTTATGACGGTATTTGACCTATCCCTGCACCATTAAAGGCAGATATGTTTAAATACATAAACCGTGTATTTCAACTGACAGCCATCCACTTTAATTACAACTGTCCAGTATTAATACAAAAGCTTCATTTTTGTACTCCACACTGATCTGTAAGCCATACCTTTTAAGCTAACACGTAACACATTTTGACACAGGTTGCTACACTGAATGAGAATCAGAAAGGGGGATAAATTTTTATTGCAATTACAACTTACAGGTTCACCAGCTACTGGGGATTGAAGATGTCCAGCTTGGCTGCCATAAAATTAAAAGGATACCTCTAAATAGATGGTGTGAATTTCAGGTATGCTGAACATATTTGGGTGCTGTTGCTTCTAAAGGAGTTTTTGGTATGCAGTCTCATCCATCAGACTCACTGCAAGCCTCAGAAAGATCTGAGTTGCTTAAACGTAACTTAAAAATGCAGTGGAAGTTAGGTTAATACATATAGCAGCTCCTGATGTAGTTTGACTGATGGACCAAAATTTTATTTCTTTTCTCCTGACCTTTGGTGATTGCCTCTCCCTGGTTAAGCTGTGCAAATAGGGCTGAGCGAGCGGCAGTTCCTTCATCTTTTACAGTTTCTGTATCAAAGATGGGGGGAGGTCCAGGTGGTGGCGGTGGTGGCAGCGGTGGTTGGGAGAGGCATGGCCCGCTTGTTAGAACAGATCGCATAGACATGGGTGATGCAACAGGACCCTGTTTGAGATAGATGGAAATTGTTTTACATACAGTGTTTCAAGGAACATTGTATTATGACAACTCTTATTTATATGAAAACTCTTATTTATTAACATTCTTGAATGCTGTGAGTTTGAGTGACTCTAGGCAGCCACAAGCTCTGAAGAATTTCTGGCACATAATCGAACGTAATACTATGAATCTTTCCCTGCATCAAAGCAGGCAAAGCTGGAAAGACTGACAGTCCACAGTGCTACCTTACTGCAGAACTACTCCACCTAAAATATTTTTCTCAAATGCTTGTCAAGACTCATGTTAAAAATCTTTAATAATAAAGATTCTGTAATTTATTCCAGTGTTTACTTACATAAAAGGGAAAACGTCTCCTTTTTTTCAGATACCAAATTCAGTTAGCCATAGATTGGTGTGCATTCAGTAACATACAGAAAATGTTTTGATCTAACACAAATAATTGAGAGGGTCACGAACTTTCAGTTATAGATATGCAACATGCTAAATTGTATGCAAGGTGTAAAATGCTATTCTGCAGACTGTTCAAGTAATCTGCAAAGATTCAAATACAGCAGATTGTAAAACTATGGTGATTCAAGTCTCTTATTTCTGAAATTCAGTATTTGAGTTTTTAGTTCAATTTCTCAAAATCTTTTTTCTTTTCTTCAATTGCAGGCAATCACAGCACAGAAGTTACGAGTCGGGGGTGGGCCTTGGTAAAGTAAGTAATCCAATCTTTCTTTCAGTTTGCATAATCAAAAGTACATGTTTTTGTCTGAATTAGAATATCATCAGACAGAAAATACTAATAATGATCTAATTAAAATTTTATGCATCCTAATAATAGATGTTAGATAGAATCTGAGAAACTGAGAATTACTTTTTCTGTCTTGCCACTGAGTGTCACTCTGATCCCACCTCTCTGCAGCAGAGCCGAGACTGTTTTAAAAGAACTGTTGTGAAAAATTGGATTGGTTCTGATGAATTTACCTAGCTATACAGACATTGTGTATTGCACCAGTACATATTTATTGGGTGGGCAGATAGAATGGGAAAATGACAGGGACTTACAGACTCACAGATCGTCTAATTGGTTACCTTTGTTAAGAGATACAGGTTGTTAAAAGTGCATCCCTGGTAATCAATACTGGAAATAGATCTTGCTTAGCTGAGCTCAGAGGATATTTTTAACCATTTATTATGCCACTCCTTTCTGCTTTCCACTAAACTGAACCAGCAAAGTATCCATCTGGTTCATGCATCTCACATGAGTGAAAACTCTAGCTATTTTTAAAAAAATTAAACTTGTCCTGTAATCCCAAACTGATAATGGGAAAGGGGCTGAGGTGCACATGCTCTTTTTTTTTTTTACTCTTCAGACATACTTTTAAAAAAAAAAAGAAGGCAGGCACATTTGAGTAAGTGACTGCATTGAAACCTCTGAGTCGTTATGACTGGAGTAGCATGAAAAGGGAATAATATTAGTTAACTTCTTAATGTACACCCTCTTTCGGCACATGTGCCTTCAGCATGTAAGTATTGTTGCATTTGAAGGAGCTGTTTATGGAATATGTTAGTGATGAATACATAGCAAGGTGCTTTGTCACAGTGACATTAAAACTGCATTGCACAAAAAAAGACTCTTGAATCCCTGCTACTTGGGTGAGTAATGAAACTGATGTAGTGGTGCACTTTGATTGTTTCTGAAAGGATCCAAGATCTCTTAAGGGAATGAGCTCTCTTCTATGCTATTAAATCTTTTTGATCAAATGTAAACAAATGAGAAGAAACCCCTTTTGGAATTGATTATCATTTATTGTCAAGATATACCGGAACTGATGTGGACTGCTTTTAGAGACATTTCATTGTTGCATGGATACATTTAACTCGGAGCATTTCTGCTTACATACTTAGTAGTTATAGGTTGTTGTTTTAGGCTGGGGGCAACTTCTTCACTGGGCCCTCAATTTACAGTGCCTGTCTTCCTGCCTCTGCTAATGCCAGTAATGGACTTGCAGCAGAGTCAGCACAACTGTGAATTATTATAATAAAAAAAAATGAATGTAAGTGTATTTAGTGGCACAATCAGTTGTTGCTGCCTGAGGTGCAATAGAGATCTTCCCTATCTGTTGCCTGCAACCATAGCAACTGAATCCACCATGTCCTGGTTATCCAGAATTATGAACATTGCATTTGCAGGGCTTTTAAAAATACTCAGATACCCAGAAATGGCACTCACCGTTCACAGTGCAGTGTGAACATGCAGTTATGAATTATGTATGCTTTATGGGAGGAGATTAATAGTAGTACTGGTAGTGGTTAATAACTTGGAGTCTGAGATAAAAATCTGATTTCCCAAATTCCAGATTGACATCCGATTTCCCAAACATACCTTATTGCTTCCACCTGCATAAACACAGTGCTGTGATTTTCCGGAAACTTGTGTGTGTAAGACTCACATGTTCATTTAGAATTAACACCAATTAAATTCTGCAAAGATGCATTAGAGAAAAAAAGATGTAGAAGTTATCTGGGTGTTCTGCATACAACACCCAACAAGTAGTGGGTCACTCTGCCAGCCTCTTTACTTAAAGTGTCAAACTGAAGGACACCACAGATCATGCAGGAGACTCCAGGCTCAAATGATGCTGCTGAGTAATGCCTCAAAGGCGGTTTCTCAAATGGCAACAAAAGTATGGGAATGTCTATGTAACCGACCTGGAAGCAAAACTCAGGGATTTATCTGTGGAAGTGGATGACCTCTCTCCCAGCATTCTGAAAGAACTATCTTGTGAAAGTACAGACAAAAAGGAAGGATTTTGTATACATCAATCAAGTTCAGACATGGTTTTGTATGACTGGAGAATCTTTTATTTACTTTTCAAGAAAAAGCAGAGGTAGGAAAGGATCTGGAAAACTAGGAGCATCTTTCCCTTCTAGAGCACTACTGACAAAATGACAGTCTAGTTAAAAATCTCAATCTTTGACCTGAGGAGTGAAGACATCCTAGTCCTTTAAGTGGTGGGTTTCAAGAGTAGGAAAAAAAAAATTATCCCTTGCATTCATGCTGGCCATCTGCCTCCTCTTTTCTTTACAAGCTTGGTCTCTCCACCAAAGTCAGTGGCTATCTCCACTGAGCTCAAAAGATTGAGTTAGATCAAATCAAGAACACAGGAGCTGTCACAAGGTCTCGGAAGACACCTAGGCTTCAGTCACCCTTCCCACTTTTCCTCTTAATTTTGTGCAGTCACAGAAATAAGAGATGGACTGAACCTTTGTTGTTAACTTTGCTGCTGCATGACAAATTCTTGTCTAGTTTATGACCAGAGTTACAGCTACACAAGCTAACAGATATTGTATCATGATATTTGCAGTTATGTCTGAACATCCATGGCCATTCTGGAAACTGCAAACAATTTCAATCATAAATTAGGCCAGGCAAAATTGAAGGACAAATCAAAGGAAAAAAAGGTTGTGAAAGTACAGAGAGGTACTAACTGCTCCACTGTAGATCTACCATCTTACAGCATGCACACATCCAGTAGGACAATCCCCCATTGAAATAGAACAGCACGGAAAAGACAGATAAATCTCACTAATGAGGAGGCGTACAGAGACCTGCTGTAAAGAGGGGTTCAGTCTCACTCTGGCTTTTGTCTTCTTTTCTTTGCCATTTTGATTTACCTGACTGAAATCAAACAAACATTCAAGTGAGGTGAAATGCTTTGTGGGAAGAGTGGCTCAGGGAAACTCTAACAAGGGGACAGAAAGCACAAAAGTGAACTGAAATGCAGAAAACACGTTGCACTTCTTGCATTCCCTGCTGCCAGGAAGATGGGGCCCGTGCTGCACTCAAACACGCTGATGTAAAGGGCCATTTTAAAATCAGCCTAGTGAAGTAGTTCCAGGAACTTTCTTTTCTGATTATTTTTGACCTCTATTAATACATAGACCTCTAAGTTACCAATCTAAGTCACTGGCAATTGGTTTGCTTTCCTTAGTCACCCTTCTAAGACCACTTAGATCCTCAGGCTCTAGAATATTTCTGAACCAGACTCTTAAACTGTTCTGGTATCTGGCAATACTTGTGTATAGTCTTATCCAATTTCAACTAAAGTGCCCTTCACAAAGTCCATTCATTTCTGTTCTGGATAGGGTGGTGTTTGGGAGTGCTGCTGGGAATTAAATAGCATGTTATATGCCTGCAAAAGTTCATCTATCCTAAAGCAGCAGGTGCTTACCAGTTTTGCTATTTGCAAACAACTCTTCAGATTAACTTCAAGCAGATGTTAACAACCATGTATCTTTACACAAAGAGTATTAAGAGCCATTTGGACTAGCAAAGGCGGTTATTTGCAAGCCTCCTTTCTTCCTCTTTTATTTCAGCTGTTGCCTCGGTAACAGCTGCTGTTCTCAGTGCTGTGGTGTCTATAGACATCATGTCAAGTTATGCTGATAGCCGACCGTTCCCATTAACATGTTGGTGTGGTCAGTTTTCCATCGTCTGCCCCTTGTAAGAATTATCAGGGGAACAGATAGCTTCAGCCTTACTTAGTGAAAATGTAAGACAAAAATAAGCCATTAACTTTTAACCTGCTAGCTTTGTATCATAGCGAACCTGATGTGCGTTAAACCTTGCTCCTGGAGCTTTCTGAAGTGGGGGAAAATGTAATTCTCTGAGTAAGGTCCTATCAAGAACAGGAGATGCCAGCCCTGGGGCCACATAGTAACAGCTCTGTAGGAGATGGAACATTCCAGAAATTTCCTCACAGGGAAAAAAATTGTCTCCAGCCTCCAACTAAACCATTCTCTGAATGGGGTGACAGGAACAGGTCAGGGTTTGCTCCTTGCTGGATAGCCCAGAGCCATCTGCAGAGAGGCCCAAGGGCCTCCCGTTGACTGTGGCTCAGTAGCTTCCTCTAGTGACAGTGTCTGAAGCTGCTTGCAGAGCTGGATCTGATAAATGCGTATTATCATTGTGCAAGGGTTTGCCGGATTGCAGTGCA